CCCGGGGCTCGAACTCACGGACCGCGAGATCGTGACCTGGCTGAAGTCGGACGCTTAACCGACTGCGCCACCCAGGCGCCCCAAGGAACTTTTCAATAGAAGAAGAGGGAAGATTGATCTATAAACTGCCTGGGGATGGATGGGGAAGAGGATGTCATGATTAGATAGGTTGTATTTAAATTTTTTTTTCAACGTTTATTTATTTTTGGGACAGAGAGAGACAGAGCATGAACGGGGGAGGGGCAGAGAGAGAGGGAGACACAGAATCGGAAACAGGCTCCAGGCTCCGAGCCATCAGCCCAGAGCCTGACGCGGGGCTCGAACTCACGGACTGCGAGATCGTGACCTGGCTGAAGTCGGACGCTTAACCGACTGCGCCACCCAGGCGCCCCAGATAGGTTGTATTTAATATTAACTATCATTTGAGTGTTTATTTACCGCATTAGGCCCTGTTCCAAATGCTTTATAACAGTAACGCTTCTTCAAAATAGCCCTTTGAGGCAGGTGCTATTCTTTATCCACACTTAAAAATGACCGGAGGCACAGAAAGATTAAATAACGATACTTCCCAACCTGCCCAGCTCCAGCAAAGCGAAGTGCCTGGATTTTCAAACCCAATCTGGCTCCTAACTATTGGGCCCTACTGCCTAAAAACAGCAGTACTATTGGTAAAACACCTTCGTTTAAGAGCACTCTCCCCTAATTATATCGTTAGATGCTCCCAAAGCCGGTGGAAGGTAGGGAGGACTAACCCCGTTTTACAGATAAGGAACTAGAGGCCCAGAAGGACTGCAGTCTAAATCCAGCGTGCCCCAGCGCCCTCTTAGAATACCAGGCAACAGACTTCAGGGTGAACGGGGCCGCTGGTGGCCTGTGGGGAGCCCAGGGTTTCCAGACAATACTTCTCCCTAACGCTAGCCACGTCCACCTCTCTCCGCCCACTGGCCGCAGGGCTGGGCCTCGGACCTTCATCGCTCCAGCCAAGCCGTGAGGTAGGTACAGTGAATTAAATGGGGGACGCCAAAGTCAGAAGCACCACAGGCTTCTCCGGGTAACTCGGTAGCCCACGCACCCCAAATCAGATCCTGCCCCGCGCCCCTTCCCAGTGTCCCGCGGGTTCAGGAAGTCCCGCCCCCTGCGCACGTGCGCTGGGCCCGGTCAGACACCGCCTCCGGAAACGTCTGTGGTTCGCCGGGCCCCCTCACTCACCCAGCGCCGCATCGGGGTCCGATACCGTTACTGTGCTGTGGCTCCCCGCCTTCGGGATCTTTACGCGGTTCCACGGCTCCGGGCCCGGCGGCACCGTAGCCATCTTGGGACGCGGGGAGGTACTGGGAAAGGCGGAGCTGGGCGAGGCCTAACGGAGCCACCGAGGGAGGGGAGGTGAGAGGAGATCTGGGGGAGGAAGAGGGCAAGGGGTGGTGCTGGGGCGGGGCCCAGAGGTGGGGGCGGGGCCTTCACGAATCGTGCACCAAATACAGTGGACTGGGAGAGTCCCTAATCACCAAAACCTGGCGGTTTTTCAGAATCTCTCACTTGGAAGAGTTTGGGGGTGGGTGGAAGCCCCATCCCAGTATTACTAAATAAGAATCTCCGAATGAGGAGAGGAATCTGCATTGTGTTTGGGCTTCCCACGGGATTCTGCGGCACAACCAAGTTTGGAATTACTTCAAGGCTTTTTACAGTTGTAGTAACTGAGGCCACCCATAGACCCCTATCTGCACATCAGACATTGGGGGGAGGAGGAAATGAAATAAAAGAAATGCAAAGTGTGACATTTGAAACACAGAAGACGGGATTTACCTTGTCTGGAAGGTCCTGTCTTCACCAACAGGAAAACTGCCATCACATCAAAGAAACTTAGAGCCCCTCTGACTCTATCAACCCTGTCCTCTATCATTGTTTAAGACAAGATGGTATCGCAAGCTCTGCTGATCCTCTCCTTATTAATAACTTTCTAATAGATTATTTATCTTCAGCCACAATGACGTCACCTTACTTGAATAAGCCCTTCACTGTAGTGTATTACAGAGGCAATTCGTAGATTTTGGAGACAGACCACCAAGGTTCTAATTCTAGCTCTAGTTCTCAGGAGAGTTACGTAACTTCTCCAAACCTTAGTGTCCTTATGGGTAAAATGAAAATAATAGTCTCTACCTCAGTGTTGTAAGGTGCTTTAGAACAGTGTCTGGCATACAGATACTTACTCCTATCACAATTAATATTGTTATTATTTCTACTGTTTAATGCAAGTAAGCTTGCCCTATTGAAACACTTGCCATGCTCTTCCTGTGTGCCTTGGCAAATACTAATTCCTCCACTTGGGTCATCCCCTGAAACACAGTCTCCCTTCCTCAGCTCTGGTGTCAACACCTCTGGGTAGTTCTTCCTGAACATCCCATCCCCACTCCATAACTTGACATAGACTACCATAGTGCCTTGAATTGGCCACTGTATTAGCTTTCTTTTGCTACAGTATTAAATTACTACAAACTTTGTTGCTTAAAAGACATTCTATTTCTGAAGGTCAGAAGGGCAAAATGGATCCCACTGGACTAAAGTTGGCAGGGCTGGTTCCTTCTGGAGGTTCTAAGTGAAGAATTCATTTACTTTTTTCAGTTTCTAAAGGCCACTTGCATTCCTCAGCTCATGTCTCCATCTTCCCATTTTCCAAGTCAGTAACATAGCATCTTCCAATCTCCCACCTCCCTCTCCTACTCTCTCTCATCTTCCTGCCTTCTTAGAAAGACCCTGGTGATTACTTTGGGCCTGCCAAAATAGCCCCATATAATCTTACCATTTCAGAATCTCTAACTTAATCACATCTACAAAATTTGTTTTGCAGTGTAAGGTAACATAGTCACAGATTCTGAGGATTAACATGTGGACATCTTTGGGGAGCTGTTACAGCTATCACAGACTCTCATGAATTTACTTCCCAGTGTCTATTAGTGTATTCGTATGTCTTCAGTGGTCTATGAGCTTACTGAAGGCAGCACTACCAGTAAAGTTCACTGATCTTTCTTTATATCTTAATTCTCAGCTCAGTGCATGGCATATAGTAGGATCTCAATAAATTTTAATATTTTTATTGAAATATAATTGCTATCCAAAGAACCACATATATGTAATGTATACAATTTCACAGGTTTTCAATATTTGCCCATTGAATAAGAGACTAGAAAATGCTTGAATAGAGTTTTGAAAAGATGATTAGGAATTTCTCAAGCAGATAAGGGAAGAAGGACATCCCTAACAGAAAGGTGTTAAACAACATGGGTTGGAAGAATCAGTGGTCTTGGGTCAGTATTGCTGGAGTTGGTGTGTGCTGAGGGATGAAGCTTGGAGTGGTGGTGTCAGATTCTGGGCAGAACTTGGATTTTACATTGAAGGCTGGTGGTTCCCCACCCTGGATGATCATAATTACCTGAGTAGCTTTTAAAAAATAGAAATTATCTGGTCCCACTTTGGAAATTCTTATTAGGTCTGAGTAGGACTCTAATTTTTGTTTCTTAAAAGTTCCTTGTGATGGTAGTTAGGATTGGGGAGCCCTTCCTATAGGTGATAAGGAGTCTCTCAGTCTTAGGCAGGACAATTTTGGTTACTTTGCATCAAAGAGCACCCTAAAAGCAGATTTAAAGGAGACGAGGCTGGTCATGAGGAGGTAAAGGAATCTATTGCAAACACTGAGGCAAGACATGATGGTGGCCTGAATTCAAACTTTAACACTGAATATGGATAGTAGAACTTATTTAAATGTCTGGTATTTAGATATTTAGATGTCTATCATGACTTCCAGATTGTTGTTTTGAGTTTGCAATAGCATTAAAAGGTAGAATAGAGTTAGGTGGGTGGCAAGGATAATGAGATAACTTTTGATACACTGAGTTTGAGGTCACCCACGGCGACAAGAATATGACCAATTCACCAATGGAATAAATGAGACTGTAGCTCAAAGGGTGACTGCAAAGGGAGGAAGTAGAATTGGTGAATCTAGGATAGTATTTTTAGAAGCTTAGAGAAAGGGGGACAGTTTAATTTATAATAGATATGCAGGATCCATCAGAGTATTGTTTTGTTTCTTATTTTAAGGTAGTGTGTCAGTCAGGGTTCCACCATTCACATAGAATCAATAGAATGTATATATATCACACATATATATGTATTACATATATATTTTTAAGGGATTTATTGAAAGAAATTGGCCTGCACAATTGTGGGGTTGGATAATCAAGTTTGAAGTCCATAAGGCCAGCCAATAAGAACAGGCTGGGGGTGCTTGGGTGACTCAGTCAGTTAAGCGCCCGACTTTAGCTCAGGTCATGGTCTCACAGTTCATAAGTTTGAGCCCTGTGTCAGGCTCTGTAGGCTCTGGTGATAGCTCAGAGCCTGGAACCTGCTTCAGATTCTGTGTCTCCCTCTCTTTCTGCTCCTTCCCCACTCATGCTCTCTCTGTCTCTCAAAAATTAATAAACATTAAAAAAAAATAAAAAAGAACAGTCTGGAAACTCAAGCAGAGCTGAAGCTGCAGCCTATAGAGGGGATTTTTTCCTCCTTCCTATTTTCAGGGAAACCTACTAAATTTTCAAGGCCTCTTCAACTGATTGGATTGGGTTTACCCAGATTACCCTGGACAATCCTTTACATAAAGTCAGCTGATTTGTAGCTGACAATCTCATCTACAGAATACCTTGTTAGAAAGACCTAGACTAGTGTTTGACTGAGTAACTGGATACTAGAGCCTAGCCCAATTGATACACAAAACTGACCATCATGGACAGGAAATTACTTGCTCACATACATGCTAAAGGAAAGAGGCCAAAAGAGTTAGAGAATCTGGCCATACTATGGATAAAGAGGGGAGAGAATGAACAGAACAAGACCCATTATTCATTCAATAAAATTTTTGAGCATCACTTCTTTGCCAGGCACCATACTAAGTCCCAGAGGAGACAAACAAGGATGGGATCAAGTATTCAGGTAGAGAATTTGCCTTAAAGATCAAAAAAGCCTTTATTTTCTGAGCCTGGAAGAAAAATAAAAATAGCTTTAGATATGAAGATGTTTAGGATGGGGTACTAGGAAGATGAGGGACCCCAGAACAAGAGCATCCATGTTGTCTGTAGATTTCCGATCATTACCAAGAATAGAGGGCAGCAGGGAAATGGAGTTGCAGGTAAGCAGTGGATATTTGAAATCAGAACTTCCTTGAACTGGAGGGTGTGGAAGAGGCCTCGGTTCTGTATATTAGACAGGAAGTAAGGTTTTAGCGTCGTGCTTAGAAAATTTACAGTCTGTAAGGAAAGACTAATTTGAACGCCAAAATGGAGAGACATGACTTCTTACTCAGTTTATAGACTCAGGCAAATTCAACAACAGATTCCCTTAGTAGACAAGGAAGCCAGTAAAAAGATGCTCATTGCTGTTACTTACAGTCACAAAATTTTGGAAAACATTTAAATATCCATGTGTCAGTTACCTATTACTGGTTAACAATCAACAACTTAGTGGCTTAAGTTGTTGGACTGGATCTAGAAGACCCAAGATGGTCTCACTCACAATTTTTGCACTCTCCCTAGGATAGCTCAAATAGCTGAAGGTGAATTGGGATGGCTGGGTCTCTCTGCTTTCATGTATTAGCTGGGCTCACACATATTGTCTGGGACCTTGTTTCTCTTCCATATGGCTTTTCTCTCCATGTGACATTTCATCCTCTAGGACCTATCTCTCCAAATAGACTCTCTCCAGTAAGATAACCTGGACTTCTTTATATGGCAGCTGGATCCACCATGAGCAAAAGCAAATGCCACAAGGCTTTGTTTTTTCTGGGCCAGAAGTCCCTGAATGCCACTTTTATCACATTCTATTGGCCAAAACAAGTCGGAAGGGCAGCCAGATTCAAGGAATGGGAAAACACACTCCAGCTCTTACTGGAAGAAGCAATAAAGACACATTGCAAAGAGGCATGGACACAGGGAGAAGTGATTCATCCTATGGGGGCCATTTTTAACAATGTACTACAGTCTAATAAACATTTCTTTTGAAAACTGTGGTAAAGTTCTCCTCCAAGATGGCAATGTAGGAAGACCCTGAACTCCCCTTCTCTCCAGAATTACCAAATTACACCTATCTATAGAGCAATTCCTCCTGAAGAAGAACAGCTTTTGCACAACAAAAGATAGAGATAATAGCAAAACTGAACAGCAAGAGAGACAGACATCGGTAACAAAGGGAACCCCCAACCCCAAATACTGCAAACCACAGTGGAGAGGGAAAGTACTGAGGTACTAGGAACAGATTTCTCTGGCCTTGGGCACAGATAAATAAATAAATAAAATCTTGGTTTAAAAGAGCAACTAGCATATAAAACTGAGCCCTAGAGTTCCACCAAATGGTGGAGGAAGCTGCAGGAATTGAATCAGAGACTGGAGAATGACAAGGTTTATGTCCCTCCACCTTGAAAGCACAGACTGGAGCAGGGGCTAGTCACTATGCCAACTTTCAGCTTCAGCGAACCCCAGGTCCTTTAATGCACACCAGCCCCAGTCATACTGGGCACGGAAAGAACTTGTGGTTTAAAAGAGCAACTAGCATAAAAAAGGCCCAAGCTCAGAACTCTACCTAATGGTGGTGGCAGTGGGAGGGGAGCTATTGGAACACTCTCTGGATGGGAGGGACTGGTGGGCACAGTCTGCACTCCTCTCCATCTTAATAATGTAAATGGGAGCAGAGCCTGGGAGCCCTTGCAGGTCTGCCACCTCAGTGAGCACAGGTCCCTACCCTATACCAGTTCTAGGCACCCTAAGTCACAGAGAAGTCGAGGTTTAATAGAACAGTTAACATATAAAAGAACAAGCCCTAGAATTCCACCAAAAGTCAAGGGAGTTGCTGAACTCTCTCCAGGTAGGAGGAGCTAGTGGATGGGGTCTACACTCCACCTCCACCGTGAAAACACAGACCAGTGCGCAGTCTGGGTGCCGTAACCAGCTTACCCCAAGCCTCTAGCCCACAGCAGCCCCAGCAATCCCACCAAAGCAGCCACAGAGTGATGCACACCAGGACATGCCTGATTAGCATTCACTACAGCTCGTTTTCACACCAAGGTGATACAGCCACAAAGCACCCTGGAACACTCCAGGCCCACACCACTTCAGCCTCAGACACTTTGCTAGGGCACATCGGGCACACAGCACTTTGGAACCTCCTGGCTGTCATCTGTTTCCAATCCAGTTGCCCTGCCAGGGAGTCCCCTGTGCAGAGCACCCCAGCAACACCAGGTCCATGTTTGCTTTGGTTTCAGCCACTCCAACAGGGCACCTTCTGCTTGGAGCACCCCAAAACACCTCCACCCACATCAGCCTCAGCTCCAGTCACCTAGCCAGGGCACTTCCTGTGCTAAGCACCCTGAGACATCCCAGCTTGCATGGAGTTCAGCTTCAGCTGCTCTGGCAGGTTGACCTCAGTGTGGAGAGCTTGGGACAGCCCAGCTTGCAGCTACTTCAACTTCAGCTGTCCTGCTAGGACACATTTTTCATGGAGAGCCCCAGAGATCACACTGGCCTATGCCCACTCTAGCTTTAGCTGTCCTGCCAGAGCACCCCTCTCCCTGCATGGGATGCCCCCAAGACACCCTGACCTGTACTCTGCCTAGGCTCCAGTTGTCTCTGCAAGGAGCACTGTGTGGAGAGTGCTGGAACACTCAGGCTAATACCCACTTTAACTTCAACTATCCTGCCAAGGTGCCCTCTGTGCTTAGAGCCCCAGGTCCCCCTAGCTTGCACCCACTTTAGTTTCAGCTCTCCTGCCAGGGCACCCTCTGCACAGAGAGCCTAGGGACCTCCTGGTCCACATACCACCTCAGCTCCAGTTGCCCTGCCAGGGCACCCTGGCTTGCACCCATTTCAGGTTTAGCTATCCTGCCAAGGTGTCTTCTGCATGCTAGGGGCCTCAGGACACCCCAGTTTACACCCACTTTAGCCTTAGCTGCCTTGTCCAGGCACCTGCTTGGTGGAGACCTCAGAGACCACACCAGTCTGCACCCACTTCGGCTTTAGCTGCCCTGACAGGGCACCCTCTTCATGGAGAGCCATGAGGCTCCCAGTCCACACCAGCCACAGCTCCAGCCAGTCAGCAGGTGTCACAAAGAGCCCATAATCTACATAGGAGATGACTGAACACAAGTCCATTCCTTCAAACTTAGAAGTTGCTCTTCCACCTAATTCATAGAAACACAGAAATTCAAGCAAAATGGGGAGATAGAGGAATATGTACCAAAGGAAAGAATAAAACAAAACCTCAGAAAAAGAACTAACTGAAACAGATAAGCAAAATGCCTGATAAAGAATTTAAAGTAATAATCATGAAGGTGCTCACCAGGCTGGAGAGAAGAGTGGAAGAACTAAGTGAGACCATCTATAAAGAAATAGAAAATATAAAAAAGAAGTAATCAGAATTAATATAATCACAAATAAAAAAAATACCCTAGAGGGAATGAATAGTAGATTAGTGGATGCAGAACTTATCAGCAATCTAGAAGAGAGGGTAATGGAACTCACCCAAACTGAACAACAAAAATAAAAAATATTTTTTTAACGTTTATTTATTATTGAGAGGCAGAGAGACACAGAGCATGAGCAGGGGAGGGGTAGAGAGAGGGGGAGACACAGAATCTGAAGTAGGCTCCAGGCTCTGAGCTGGCAGCACAGAGCCCAACGCAGGGCTCAAACTCACAAACTGTGTGATCATGAACTGGGCCAAAGTCGGTCGCTTAACCAACTGAGCCACCCAGGCACCCCAAAAAATAATTTTTTAAATTAAGGGATCTCTTGGACAATATCAAGTGAATAAACATTCACATTATAGGGGGTCCAAGAAGAAGAGAGAGAGAATGGGACAGAAAACTTATTTGAAGAAATAAGAACTGAAAACATCTTTAGCCTAGGGAAGCAAATAGACATTGGTTCAACAAGCACAGAGTTCCAAACAAGATGAATCCAAGGAGGCCCATGCCATGACACATAATAACTAAGATATCAAATGTTGAAGAGAGAATTTTTATTTATTTTTTTATTTTTTAATCTTTATTTTATTTTAGAGAGAGTGTGTGTGCACAAGAGAGGGGGAGAGGGGCAGAGAGAGAGAGAGAGAGAGAGAGAGAGGAAGAATCTTAAGCAGACCCCATGCTCAGCACGGAGCCCAGTGTGGGGCTAGCTCATGCACAGAGCCCAGTATGGGGCTAGATCCTATGACCCTGGATTCATGACCTGAGCTGAAATTGAGAGCCAGATGCTCAACCACTCAGCCAGCCAGGCTCCCCAAGAGAAAAATTTTAAAGCAGCAAAAGAGAAGCAAAAAATTTCCCATAAGAGAAACTCTATAAGCTGATTTTTTAAAAACTTTTTAATGTTTTTATTTATTTTTGAGACAGAGAGAGACAGAGCATGAGCAGGGGAGGGGCAGAGAGAGAGGGAGACACAGAAACTGAAGCAGGCTCCAGGCTCTGAGCTGTCAGCACAGAGCCTGACACGGGGCTTGAACTCACGAGCTGTGAGATCATGACCTGAGCTGAAATCGGATGCCCAACCGACTGAGCCACCCAGGTGCCCCTATAAGCTGATTTTTTTAGCAGAAACTTTACAGGCCAGAAGGGAGTGGCATGATATATTCAAAGTGCTGAAAGGGAAAAACCTATAGCCAAGAATACTCTACCAGTCAAGATTATCATCATATTTGAAGGAGAGATAGGGTTACCTAGACAAACAAAAGTTAAAGGAGTTCATCACCACTAAATAAGCCTTATAAGAAATGTTAAAGAGATTTCTTTAAGTGAAAAAGAAATGGCCATAATTAGATGAAAGAAAATTATGAATAAAACGATATAAAATATGACAGCATATGCATAAAACATGGAAGAGGGAGTAAAAAAAGAATTTTTAAAAATGTGTTTGAACTTAAATGATCATCAACTCAATATGGACTGCTGTATATTAGGATACTATATATGAACATCATGGTAACTGCAAACTCAAAACCTATCATTGATACACAAAAAATAAAGTGAAAGAAAGCCACACATAACACTATAGAAACTCATTAATCACAAATGAGAGCAAGAGAAGAAGAAAGGAACAGAAAAACTACAAAAACAATTAGAAAACGAACAACAAAATGGCAAAAAGTATATTTCTATCAATAATTACTTTATTTTTTTGAATATTTATTTTTGAGAGAGAAAGAGAGAGAGTGCGAGTGGGGGAAGGGCAGAGAGAGAGGGAGACACAGAATCCTAAGCAGGCTCCAGGCTCTGAGCTGTCAGCACAGAACCTGACATAGGGCTCGGACCCATGAACCATGAAATCATGACCTGTGCCAAAGTTAGATGCTTAACAGATGGAGCCACCCAGGTGCCACTCAATAATTACTTTAAATTGAAATAGCCTAGATGTTCCAATAGAAAGACACAGGGTGATGGAATGGATAGAAAAAGAAGACCATCCAAATGCTGCCTACAAGAGACTCACTTCAGACCTAAAGACACACACAGGCTACAAGTGAAGGGATGAAAAAATATTTACCATCTGATGGAAGCAAACAAAAAAAAAACCCAAAAAACAAAAACAAACAAAGCTGGAGTAGCAAATTTTTATCAGACAAAACAAACTTTAAAATAAGGACTGTAACAAGAAACAAAGAAGGGCATTACATACTGATAAAGGGATCGATCTACCAAGAGGACATAACAGTTGTAAATATCAACAAACCCAACACTGAAGCACCTAAATACATGAAGCACATATTAACAGACATAAAGAGATAAACTGATGGTAATACAATAATAGTAGGAGACTTTAACACTCCGCAAATATCAATGGATGGTTCATCCAGGCAGAAAATTAACAAGAAAACAGTATTTTTGATTAATGCATTAGACCAGATGTATATAACAGATATACAAAACATTCCACCCAAAACAACAGAAGACACGTTGTTTTCAAGTGCATATGGAACATTCTCCAGAACAGATCACACAGATCCACAAAACAAACCT